GTGGCTGCAAGCTGCCTGCAACCACCCCCTACCGCCCCGCTGCCAGCACACACGTGAGACAGGCAGGAGATGAGGTACAGAGTGACATGAAGAAAACAAAAGGAGAAACCAAGGAAAGAAAACACTTTATTGAGACCAACCTGGTAATCCAGAGGGACAGAACATAAAAGAAAGGTCATGAAATGCAAACTGAAGAGCAACGTGCAAAGAACAAAAGGGAGGCAGGGGTGAGGGAGGAGACGGGGGTCTGGAGGCTGCCTGCCTGCCTGGGAAAGGGCTGCCTGTACAGCTGGGCCCAACCCTCTATCCCCAGGGCCTGAGCTTTGGCAGTGGAGGTGCTGCTTCCCCTGTCTGTGTCCTGCCCATCCTAGGCCCAGCATGCAGCATGGTGGCGCTTTGCTGGGGTGATGTCGGGGACAGGTGGCCCCCCAGTCCTGGATCTGCAGGGTCCCCTGTGCTTCTGCTGGGGAGCCAAAGAGAGAAGTGCTGGAATAAAGGGCTACTAGGCACAGCCCCAGTCCCCCCACTGGGCAATGGTGGGACATGGACCTGCAACTGCACAGGCATTGTCCACCCAGCGTGTGGGGGTCCTAGGGGCTGCTCCCTTGCTCTGCCCAACACCCCTAAGCACCTACACCTTGTCTCCCCGCAAAAAGGGGTATTGCAGGAACACCCTGGGCTGGCTCCTGTCCCAAAAGAGCCAACAAGCACACACAGGCTAGGAAGGAGGACAGAGTGAGCAGGGAGAGCGGTGGGATGGCCAGGCAGGCAAGCAGCCGAGTTGGGGAGGGGAGGGGCAGGCAAGGGGGTGGCATGATGCAGTGCTGGTGCCCAGCAAGGGGCTCAGAGGGAGGTGATGTCGTTAAGTGCATTGTCCAGCTCCTCGCTGATGGCTTTGTATTTCATCTTCTGCGCATACACTTCATCTGCAGGCGGGGGGTAGGTAAGGGGCAGACGGTGTAGCAGGGCAGGGAGCAGGCGGTGGAGAGAGAGAGAGTGGCTGTGAGCTGGGGGCCAAGGGTGGCGGGAGCGTGCGGGCACAGGCAGTGTGGATGTGGCCCTATTCCCCGCCTGAGGGCAGAGCCCAGACCCCAGCAGCTCTGTGCTTCCACACAAGACACCACGGCATCTGGCTGACCCCCCTCCCAGGACCCCTGCCCACCCCGTCACCCTGGCCAAGCCCTGTCCAGCCCCACAAGGGGCATGTTGTGGACAGTGCTCTCCAGGAAAGAGGGACACGGGGCCCGTGAGGACATTTTACCTTCTAGATCATCGATGGTTTTCTCCAGCTTTGCCACAGACCTCTCTGCAAATTCTGCTCGGGTCTCAGCCTGCAGAAGAACAGTGGGGAGAAGGTGAGCTGCAGGGCATGATAAGGACAGTGCAGACTGCACTGCATGCCAAATCTGCCCCTGCAGCCTGCATCGCCGGTACCCTTCTCCATGAACCCATCCCTGGGAAAGGGAAAGGACAAGGGCCCCATGGACCTCCACACCCTAAACCAGAGCAGGCTGATGGGGTGGCATCCCAGACGCAGGCACCTGCCATGCTGCAGGGCTGCAATATGGGGGACAGTGAGAAGACACAGGCGTAACGAGGTCAAAACCCACACAGGAAGGCAAACTCATGCTTGCACCAGTGCAGTGCCGGCCCTGCACCCCTTACCTCCTTCAGTTTTTCCCCTAGAAGCTTGATTTCCTCCTCATACTTGTCCTCCTTGGTGGAATACTGCAGAGACAGAGACAGGCACCAGTGAGCCCCATGGGACGCCTCTGACTGTGCTTCACCCCAGCAGGAGACCCCAGTATCCCCAGACCCCACGCACTCTGCCCAGCCCCAGCAGCCCCACCGGGTCCTACCTTGTCAGCCTGGGCCTCCAGGGACTTCAGGTTGTTGGTGACAATTTTCAGCTCCTCCTCTAGGTCACCACATTTACTACATCCCAAGCAGGGG